GTAGTAGTAGTAGTAGTAGTAGTAGAGTAGGTAGTAGATAGTAGTAGTAGTCAAGTAGTCGGAGGAATAGGAGGAGGAGGGGTGGAGGAGGAGGGAGGGAGGGAGGGATGGGAGGGAGGGGGGAGGAGGAGGAGGAGAGGGGGAGGAGGAGGAGGAGGAGGAGGAGGCGGAGGAGGAGGAGGACAAGCTAGGTGCGCTCGCGACATATCTGACGTCCTACCCCTCCCTCCCATCCCTTACCATGGCGCTGATTTCCTCTATCCGCGGACGCGTGTCGTAGCGGACCTGTGGCTCCGCGCGCGCGTGCGTAGTGGGTGGTGGTGCGCGTGCGTGCGTGCGTGCGTGTGTGCGTGGTGGTGGTGGTGGTGGTGGTGGTGGTGCTGCTGCTGGTGGTGGTGGTGGTGGTGGTGGTGGTGGTGGTGGTTGTGGTGGTGGTTGTGGTGGTGTGTGTGTGTGTGTGCGTGTGTGCGCGTGTGCTGTGGCATGGCACGGGAAATGACGCCAGCGCTGCAGCGGGAGCACGAATCGAAACAGGCGGAAGCGCGGAAATGAGGCCAGCGCTGCAGCGGGAGCACGATTCGGAACGAGCGGAAGCACGGAAATGAGGCCAGCGCTGCAGCGGGAGCACGATTCGGAACGAGCGGGGCCCGAAATGAGGCGGGCGCCTCAGCGAGAGCAGCATTTTGAAAAAAATGCAGGCGAAAACCCAACTCCCGGGAATCCTGTGTGTAAAAAGCAGGACGCGGGGGGGGGTCGGCTACTTTCAGGGCGCCTTCGCGGGAAGAGGGAGAGTAGTATTCATATTGAGTAATTGTGGAGGAGGAGGAGAAGAAGGAGGAGGAGGAGGATGAGGTGGAGGAGGAGGAGGAGGTGGGAGGAGAGGAGGAGGAGGAGTGAGAGGAGAGGAAGAGGAGGAGCAGGGAGGAGGAGGAGGAGGAGGAGGAGGAGGAGGAGGAGTAGGCGGAGAGAGGAGGAGGAGGAGGAGGAGGAGGTGGAGGAGGAGGAGGAGGAAGGAGGAGGAGCAGGAGGAGGAGGAGGAGTGAGGAGTGAGGACTGAGGAGCGAGGAGGAGGAAGGGAGGAAGGAGGGAGAAGGAGGAGGAGGAGGAGGAGGAGGAGGAGGAGAAAGAAGAGGAGGAAGAAGGAGTAGGGAGGGAGGGAGGGGTAGGGAGGGAGGGAGGCGGGGAGGAGAGATAGGGAGGAGAGGGAGGAGTGGAGGGAGGCGGGAGGGAGGAGGAGGAGAAGGAAGAGGAGGAGGAGGAGGATGGAGGAAGGAAGAGGGACGAGGGAGGAGAGAGGAGGCGAGGAGTAGGGAGGAGGGAGGGAGGAGGAGGGAGGGAGGGAGGGATGGAGGGAAGGCGGGAGGGAGGAGGAGGAAGAAGAAGAGGAGGAAGAAGAGGAGGACGAGGAGGAGGAGAAGGAAGAGGAGGAGGAGGAGGAGGAGGAGGAGGAGGATAGAAAGAGGGAGGACTCTCATCGTTTCGACTTTGGAGCCCATCCTGATGGGATGCTCGCGGCCGTTTCTGGCATCCTGGGGCCCTTACCCGTTCCCGGGGCCGTCAACAAAACGACGCGTGACGAAGGACTGGTCCTGGCGCAGCCGTTTCGCTTGAGACTTCCTTACGATTTATTCAGGAATCGTGCTCTCGCCTCAGTGCCAGCGACATGTGTCGGTTCGGCCCACCACGATCCCTTAACAGAAACAACGACAGTGCACATGGCCGTGCTTTCACCCTTCCGTGGTCGATTTGTTCTTTGGCTTTCGTAGCGGTATGTGCCTTCACAGGGTTGAGACAAGGCGTGGGTGGGTGTGTATATATATACTTGTTTATAGACGAGAAAGAGAGATAGAGAGAGAAACATAAAGAAAGAGAGAAAGAGAGAGAGAGAGAGAGACATTCAGGAAGAGAGAGAGAGAGAGAGGCAGGGAGGGACGGACGGAGCGTGAAGTAGCAGGGTGCAGCGCGCTTTTGTACTGCGTGCGCTTCTCGTCCCGTCCCATGCTCCTCTCTGCGCCTTGCGAGGACTATATTTCAGTGGCAGACGGGGCAGATGTGGTGGCGGCCTTCTTCATTCATCAACCTCGTGCTCATTGTGGGCTGGGGGACAGGGATGAGGATGAGGTGGAGGAGGAGGAGGAGGAGGAGGAGGAGGAGGAGGAGGACAAGAAGGAGAAGGAGGAGGAGGAGGTGGAGGAGAAATAGGAGGTGGAGGAGAAGTAAACTGAGGAAGTGGGGGAGGAGGGGAAGGCGAAGGAGGGGGAGGGGAGGGGGAGAAAGAAGAGTACGAGGAGACGGAGGACGAGCTCACGCATGCCTTGGTGTACGCCCAGGCGTGCGCTCCAGAGATACAGAGGGAAAGCGCCATGCACTCCCAGTAAGAATGCTTCTGGGCAGGAGTGAGGTCAGTGGCGTGGGTTGGGCCAATGGCGTGTGGTCCGCCTCGCTCCTCCTCCTCCTCCTCCTCCTCCTCGCTCCTCCTCCTCCTCGCTCCTCGCTCCTCCTCCTCCTCCTCCTCCTCCTCCTCCTCCTCCTCCTCCTCACAGGGAAGGGAGTTTTCTCTCGGACTGCCCTTCGAGAGGCGGAGCGGAGGGGGGTGGAGGAAAGGCGCGCCGCCTTAGAGGAAGGAAGGCGCCCTCGGATCCAGCGTATCCTTGCCCGCTCCCTCTCCTCGACCCTCTTTCCTGACCGTCTTCACCTCCTCTTCCTCCGTCGCCTCCATGCCTGGTTTCCGTCCCAGGAGCTTCCCACCCCTCGAGAGGTGGAAGCGAGGTGGGCTCTCCTGAGGCCGATTCTTTCACGTGCCCAACCCTCGTGGGCGTGGGCTCATTTGAAAAGTCTCGCTGGGGGATGGGTCACGACCGCCAGAATGCCCGTCCTCGCACGTAGGAGTTGTCGCCTTGGCTGCGAAGGGTGCGTGGACTCTCTTCCTCACTACCTCTGCTGTCCTCGGCTTCTCCACCTTCTAGCTCGCCATCGCCCTCGTGCTTTTCTCCCGTCCTGCCCCATGGCTCGGATTGGGCTTGGAGGCGAGGAGCACTATGACCGTCTCTTCTCGAGATCGGATGCTCATTGCTCGATTGTCCTTGCCTTCCACTTCTACCATAAACTCAAGGCGGAACAGGATGCCGCCCCTGGCTCTGCCTGTGACCTCGAATCTCATTTGAAGATTCTGCGGGGCGCCAGAATTGCAACGGGCGCCTGATATGGAGGATTGCTCGATGAGGGTACGTGCGCTCCTCACAGGGAAGGGAAGGGAGCAGCCTCGGGCGAGCAGGCCGCCGAGTCGATCGATCAACCTGCGAATCGAGCATGGCGGCATGGCAAAGAAGGGCAGGGGCTCGATGGGGAGGCCTGGCAGCTGGCGCCACCGTCAGTCTGGACGACGCTTCTCTTGAGCATGCCCGAACTTATCCTGCCTCGCTGTCTTTCTCTTGTGCTCGTTCGCTTCTGCCACACGTCGCCCCAGCGACACACGCGGCCGGCTCGTGCTCCCCCCACTCCAGATCCCCGCTTTTCCCACTGCCCACTTCCACCGTCCCATGCAATACCGCGCGCGTGCCCTCCCCTCTGTCCCTTGCGTGCCTCCGCTCTCGTCACTGCCTTCCCCTCCATCCCCCCTCGCTCATCCCCCTCGCTCATCCCCTTCGCCCATCCTGCCCGTCTCTGCACCCTTGGTGCTCCCCCTTCTGTCGCTGCCTCTCCCTCTCTCCTCCTCCCACCCCCCTCGCCTCGTCCTGTTCCGTTCCGTGGCGGCTTGACGCGTGCCCGTCTCTGGAGGAACTCGACCGTGTGAGACATCCTCCCCCGGCCCTTCCACAGCCCCTCTCCCCCCCCCTCCCCCCCCTCCCCCATTCCCCTGCCTCCTGCTCCTCGTCCAGCTTGCCCCCTCGCGAATCTCTTACCTTGGGAGTGCGTGCGACGTGTGTGGTTGACATCGAGAAGATTCAGCCGGCGAGACTTGGTCTTACCCCGCCCTCGGCATTCGTCAGGTCACTTCTATCGTTCTGGCGCCCCGTACATGCCCATGGGAGTCCCCTGTGTGAGAATTTGCCGGCTTCTTCTTTTCCGGCGTATAGCTCCAGAATTTGTTCTGCGCGCGCGCAGTTCTTGCATGGCCACGCCCCAGCCCCGGATTTACGTGTGGTTCCATCTCTTGAAGGGGGAGATTGTTACCCTTGGCCACGTCACGAATTCATGAAGCATGTTATCGTTGGTGCCAAGGACAGAGCGCGTGTGTGTGTGTGTGTGTGTTGCTACGCCGTGTCGTTGCGCGCGGGATTGCGACGTTAGAAGTGTGTGTTTGTGTTGTGTGTGTGCGTGTGTGTGGCGGTGGTGGTAGTCGTGGTGGTGGGTGGGTGGGTTGGGGGGGGGGCTGGTGGGGGGGAGGGCGAAATGCCGGCGTAGATTCTACCCCTTGGGACAGCTTGGGACCATCGAGCCAGGCTCCTAAACTCGATTTTGTCGTAGTAGAAACGGTGTGCAATGCTGAATGATCAATAACTGGCGCTGATCTCCGTCATTATCTTCGTGATTACCAGAGGGATCCAAGCGCGATGCGCAAGCTGTTTTCATTCGATACCACACGAATCCCAGGGGATCCTGTTCGTTTTTTGATGAACTATTGTGCGTGCGAGACGTGCCCATGTGGTCACAATGAGGCTGCTGCCGTTCATGTGTTGGTTTTGGTTATCACCTGATGAAACAACACATCACATCGGAGTTATTTCCCTTCAACTTGCGCCTTTACCAGTAACACTCTGCTTCATCCATGGCCAGCTTGCTTGTTTTGTTTGGTTGTGCGTGCTGTCGTAGTGCTTCTCTCTAATTACCTCCCTCCCTCGTTTCCCCCCCTCTTTTCCCCTCTTCCCCCTCTCCCGTACGCCTTCTTTCGCGACTGCGCCCTGGCCAGTGTTGCTGTCTATCCCCTATGGATGGACCCAGCTTCTCCACGCTGCGTGAGCTGGCCCGGCCCGCGCGCGCCCGCTTGACTTGACCTGCGCCGCGCCGCCGCGCGCGTGGCCGCGACGCCAGCAAGTGTGTGTGTGTGTGTGTGCTGCCGAGCCCCGCCACTGCCTGCAGCGGCCCCTAGCCAGGTGTACCTGGACCCACCTGGGCCCAGGGTGCCTGTGTGGGGCCACCTGGCCGGTTTCCCCTGTGGCGCCCAGTCACACCCACGGCTGTTTCGCGGCCTGGGCCACTCGCCTCGACGGCCTCTTTTCTTGCCCTGCGGACGGCGGGCGCCGCCGGCCGCTCGTTTTGGCGCTGCGCATTCGCCCAGCCTGTCTCTAGCGGGGGGGCTGGCTGGGCCGCTCCACGTCGCAGGGAGGGTGCCGCCTCCGTGCTCGCGGGCGCGTGCGCTTTCGGCATCCCCGGTGGCCGGCCGCGCGCGAACTGCGCCACGTCACGAGTGGCGGGCGCCGGCGCCTTTGGGCCCCTTCTGCGTCGCGTACGGCAGACGCCGGCGCCTGCCCACTTTCCTTGCTCGAAGTGCCTCTGATGCCCTCACGTGGGGCTACGTCCGTGGCTCTGTTGAGCGTACCCTTGCCGCTGGGCCTCGTTTGGTTTTCCCTTGCTCTTCTTTGCCTAGTCGGTGCGAGTTTTCAATCGGTTGCTCCGAACTGGTTCCGCCCACTGCTGCTGCCGTTCCCACCCCTCCAACCGCGCGTTGCCCTTTTCCAACCCGTCGACCTGCTCTCCAGCAGTGCCCGGCCCGCACCTTTTCTTCTGTCTGGCCGCTCCGGCTTCTTCCTCGTGCGCGCGCTTCTGCGCTTTGTTTTTATTGCAAGCGACTGCTTCCAGCCCGCCCATCTGCGACGCCAGGTGGTAACTCATTCGCCCAAGCGTGGCCCTGCTTAACATCTCGCGACAGGTGCCGCCACGGTACCGCCACCCCGCCGCTGAGCAAAAAACATGTGCGGGTGGGGAGGGGTGAGGTACTCTCCCGGCGACGCGAATTCAGGAAACTCTGAACTTTTCTACCCGATTCGTTTTTCGTTGTCGTTGTCTGCGCTATTCACAACTTCCCGCCGCGCCGATTCGTTTTCCGTCGTCGCTTTTCTAACTGACTAACTTCCCGTGGACTCTGCAAATCGGGCTCTGCAAATCGGGCTCCGCACGCCAACTCACTAAGCTGTGTTTTTTTTGCGCTTCGCCTTACGCAGTCCCACACCTGCAATATCTGGTGGCAACTTGACAAAGTAGCTACTGCCTCTTTCTATCACTCGCGACGGTGCCATCACCTTGCCAGAGGAAAAAAACGAAGGAGACTTGCAAATCTGAGCGACGAGAGTGGGAGTGGGGGTCCCTGGCGGGCTGGCCTCGAACTCGTCGAGTCAATGGTGCGCCTGCGTGGCGGACGCCCCAGCGCCTTGTTGGCAGACGGGGGCGTCGCCTACACCCAGATTCCGATGACCTAGGCAGTTTTCCTCGGTGCTGTCGCCCTGATGGGCCAGGCCAAAGCCAGGTCGACCATGCGGCGGCCTCGCCATATGAAGCACCTATTTGGGCCAGGTTTACACCTTTGCACGTTATCTGGTGGATTCAATTGTTACGGCAACCCGCATGTATTACCACTTGGTCGTGTCTAATCGCATTTCTTCAGCACTTTGGGGACCTTCTATGACGCCACTGAGATTGTCTTTGTTTCGGACCTGTTGTTGAAGTTGGGCGTGTTTGCAACAATGTTTGGCGTTACTTGGTCTACAACTCGATCGTTGCGCGTTGGTAATTCATTTGTGCGTTTTCGTATACCCGCTGAGCTGCTCACCCGAGCTGGTCATGGCGCTGCAGACGACGCCGCTCGACGAACCAATGCTTTTGCCGAGCTCGAGGGGGGCTGTCTAAGCTTTGGCAAGCACGAGAACACATGCATGGAGCGCAGCTTCACTTAGGAGGGCTGGTTTCCACTACCGCAGGGCTGTGGGCAGCCTTGAGCATCACGCGCCTGCGCCGACGTTTTCATACCAATCAGATGATGTTCGTGCTCGGTGTGGAGCTGCAGTGGAAGCTGTGGGACATCGGATTGGGGGATGCCCTTGCAAAGTGATAGAACGCGCAGACCTTGATCGTGCAATTGTGGGTTATACTTTTCCCCATGTGCGTCCTCCTTATCTTGCTCGTTGTGGTCTCCTGCCCGGTCGTGGCCACGACGTACTTGTTGATCGAGCTTTGGCGGTGTCAGAGTATGTCTTGCGGGTGAGTGTTAATGCTATGCAGGTATTTGCTGATCGCAGAGTTGGGGAAGATGTTGTTTTGGATATCCTTCAGCCTCGTTCTCGACCTCTTGGGGATGTACTTTGTTCCGCTGTGCCGCCGCTCAAGCGGATCAAGCAGCGTGCTGGTCCGCGGGATCCTCCCCGTGTTGCTCGGCAAGGCGGCCAGCTCCCTCAGCAACCATCTCCTGCACAGTTCCAATCGGCAGAGCTATTCGTCATAGCCTGTGATGGGTCTGCTCGTGTCGATACCGATCGTGATACCTCGGGCTTGCGATTGTATAGGCTTGCGCCACATCTGCCGACCCCTATGTAAACTACTGCGCCTCCAGGACTGCATTTCACGAGGCTTGTCCAAATCATGTCACGGCGCTCGACATCGTTCTTGTTGCTTCGTTGTTGGTATCGTACCTCTTGGTGCTCTTTTGTGGCCTTTTGGTGGCATCTTGGCCTGGCTGCAGGCCATATCCAGCCGCCTCGAGGCATCTTGGGCCAAGTTTTGGGGCCTCTTCGGGGGGGCTTCCTGGAGGCCATTGAGGTTCTCCTGGGGGTCCCTCAGGGCCTCTTGGGCTATTCTTGGGGCAGGCTGGGGGCGTCTTGGGGCCGAAGGCTCGAAAAGGTGCCCTCTGGGCTCCGTCTTGGAGCCGTCTGGGGGCCCTATTGGGCTGTCTTGGGGGCTTCGGGGGCTGTTGTTGGACCCTCTTCGACCCTTCTTGGGGGCCCCTTTGGCCGTCTGGGAAGGTTTCTTTGCCCGTCTGGGACGTTGTGAAAACCGAATAGGGGAACATGCAAAACAATGCTAGTTTTTGTCGAAGGAATTCTTGGCAAGTTTTGGAGCCCTCCGCTCGGGAGGTCGAATTGCCGGTTTGGGGTCCCTGGGGGGGGGGAGTATGGGGGGGGATAATCTCACACGCCTAGAGACCCACAAGGGGTCGGCGGATTTACCGTTGCGTCGTAATCACGGTCTACGTTGTCGGATGTTTGTGGCCCCTGAAATCCAAGTGTTTTATTGTGGTCTTCCGCCATTCAAGCAATGTTGGCGAGACGTGTGCGTTGCTATTTCCTGTATGTTGGGTACGTGACGGCTTGCCTCATCATCGTCATACTATTCAATACGCGGCTTCGTCATCGTCGTCTCCACCAGAGTTCGCAGGCCATAGTTGCATATGATTCCGAGCATGCTGCTGGAGTGGCACAACGGCTCACCTGGCAAATTGTGGGGCCGGTGCTCTCTTGTGTAATCTTGCCGACGTGCGTCAGTGGGCCTGGCCTTCGGGCCGATGCGTGCTTTCTCGTGGGCGAGCAGCCCTTGACTTCTTCACACCCCGAACTCGTCGAAGTTGCTTGCTCGGGCACTCGAGTGGCCACGCCGGACCTTCCGTTACCCAGCTCGACGGGGCTCGACCTGAATTTCCGACTTGCTCTTCTCCAGGGCTGGCGCTCCCGCAGGGCCGCTCCCTGGCGGGCTCCCGCCGCTGGGCGAGCCCGCGACTCGCCATCCTGTTGGCCTCGTCCACCGCTGCGCGCCGCCAGGTCGCTGCACCTCGGACGGCTCGCGCGGCCGGCAATCCGGCTCGGCCGCCGCCTGCCACTGCGCCTCGGCGGCAGCTGCATCCTGCCATCTCCGACGGGCGTGGCCGGTGTCGCTTCGGGCTCCCTCCCCTTTCCCGCCCCTCTCCGCTGATGCGCCCCCCATCGGTGAGCGTTTGTGCGCGCTCTGAGCTCGCTCGGCTTGGCTTGCCGATGTCTGCAGTTCTTGGCTGGTCGCGGCTGGTGCCGCCGGACCCCCCAGCAGCCACCTCTCCCTCTTTGCTGCTGTCTGCCGCCTTCCTCGCCCCTGTCTCTGCAACCCCTACCCAGTCTTCCGTGGACGATCCGCATGCCCTGTACCGCGCTGGCGCCTCACAAGGCGTCGCCAATGCTCGACCCAGGACTCGTACAGTGCATGGTTCTTGCGGCCCTCCGGGCCGAACAACTATGCACCGCACCGCGCTGAAGCCGGGCCTGAAGGGAATCCCAACAGGGTGCGGTGCATGGGCGCCGTTCTCTGTAGGTTTGGCTTCGGCCGTTGAACTTTGCCCTCGCCATCGGCTCGGCCTGCCTCTGGCTCCCTGCTGCGTGGCTCGCGCCACGGCCGCTTCCGTCTCCCGGCGCCTCTTGCGGTTGCCCCCCCGCTCGTCCTCTGCCTCCCTGGGTCGTGCTGGCTTCTGGTCCCGCGCCTTCGCTCCCCCTGCCGCTCCCTGCTCCGCTCGGCTTTCCCGTCCCTCGTGGTGCCCGTGCGCGCTCTCCTGGCACGCAGGCTTGCCGCGTCGCTTCACAGGGAAGGCCGTTCGTGGTGGAGACGCCCCGTTGCCAGGCGCCCGTCGTTTGGAGTCAGCGGCGCGTCGGAGGACGACAAAATGTGTGCGGGGGGGGGGGGCGGGGGGCGGGGGGAAAGCGAGGCGGGAACGGACGGGGCGTAGGCATGATCCTGGAATTCCTAGTTGGCACCCGCGTTCGCAAAGCATGAGAGTAATATTTCGGGCGGCTCGGGTGGGCGATAATCAGGCAAGTTGCGAGCATGGGCTGGCAGGCCGATGAGGCATATGCTACCAAGTTTAGTGGGAGAAGGAACGGGGGACCAATATGGAGATCAAGTTTGCGGGCCGAGAGACACACATCGACGAAGAGGTAGAGACCAATCATGGAAGTGCAATCTTTGCAGGTCGATCGCTTCTGGTCAGTGGCGAGTGGGTTTCAGTCGGATCACATATAAAACATATTCATATCTATATATAGACAAGAGAGAGAGAGAGAGAGAGAGAGAGAGAGAAAGAGGGAGAGAGAGAGCGAGAGAGAAAGAGAGAGAGAGAGAGCCCATCCTCTCGCAGTGTGCTCGGGGCGGACGTGTCCCCGGTGAGCAACGATCAGGCACGTTTTTCCTCTCCCGTTTGGGCACAGATGCCACCTTCTGGCTTCTCTGTTCTTCGATATGCTTGGTCAAGCTTGAACGCACGCGTTTGCCTATGTGTGTGTGTGTGTGCATCTCGTTGGTGGAGCTACGTGACCGGCCTGTTGAGTGTTCAGTGGCTCACGGACGTGACACTTGTGTGGGTGTATACTGTCTGCATCTGTGAACTCATGTGCTACATTGCCCATCACCTGAATGTTTCAGTGGTTCGCGGACCTTATAAATTTGAGTGCGTGTGTGTGTGTGTGCGGGTGGGTTCAATTCTGCACTGATTTTTTGCCTCTGTCCCAGCGCGCCTCTCGGCGTTTCGGTGTCTCTGAGCTTGCGCCTGTCGACGAAGGTGCTGCTGTGCCTCTGCGGTTGAGCGCGGCCGCTCTCTTCTTCCCCTCGTCGTCTGTGTGTGCCCGCAGCCCCGGCGCGGCCCGCCAGCTGCCCGAAAGCGTTGTGCGCTCGCCTTCGCCGCTGACCCCAAGCGTGTCTGCGCGTGTGCAGTCGGCTCGGTGCGCGCGTCCGGGCGCCCTCTTGGCCTGCACGCCCGTGCTGCTCCCTCACACGGTTTGATTTATCTCGCCAGCGTTGGGCGGAGACCCAGCAGCTCGCTCTCACAGGGTCGAGCAGTTCACTGCACTCAGAGGCCTGCAATGCCCTAGAGGCCTACAGCATGAGCTTCTGTGAGGTGGCCTGCTTGCGAGCTCCCTTCCCGGAGGCCTCGCCCCTCCTCTGACTCCGGAACCGCCGTACGGTAGGTTCGTGTCGTGTCGACCGGCGGCGACCCCGCCAGCGGCGTTCAACGTTGAACGCCGCGGGCGACCCAGAATCGTTCGATGTGGAAAGATTTGGACGTTTCGAAAACGGCCGATCGCTCAAGACTGAACGATCCCCGCGGTGTCAGAAACCAACGCCGAAGTCGGCACGACGTGAACCTGCCGTACTTGTTGTTGATTTTCCGATTGTAAGTTGTGCCAGAAATGCACCCCGAACAATGCGAAAACGTTGGGCGGGAATTCCCGCCGGATGGAAGTAGGGAGCAGGACGCGCATCTTTGCAGCGGCACGGCGGAAACAGCGGCGGAACAGTACTGCGGAATTCGACATCAGGAGGGCGACGAGAAGGGAGGAGGGGGGACGAGGAGGAGGAGGAGGAGGAGGAGGAGGAGGAGGAGGAGGAGGAGGAGGAGGAGGAGGAGGAGGAAGCGGAGGAGGAGGAGGAGGAGGAGGAGGAGGAGGAGGAGGAGGAGGAGGTGGGAGCAAGTAGGAGCCCGAAAAGCAGGGCGGGAATTCCCGCCCTCCCTGCGAAATCGCCCCCAAGTGAGTCACGGCGGCTCCGAGGTCAGGGGCAACGCCTCCAGAGGCGTCCAGCGCCCACAGCCTGGGCTCCTCCGTGTGTGTTGGCTCCGCCGCCGCTCCGCGGGCACCTCGAGGCCCCCAGAGGCTCCAGGGCCACGGTTCTCCAGCCGCCGGGGTGGCCGGAAGGGGGGGGGGGGGGGGGGGGGGGGGGAGCGTGCAGCACTCGGCCTGGGCGAGCAGGGGGCGGGGCTGCACGGGCCAGGAGGGCAGGGCGCTGCGCGCAGAGTCGCAGCGAGGAGGAGGGGCCCTGGCTGCAGATGTCCGCGGTTCTGCGGGCAGGGGCGGGGCTTCCCGCCCCTGCTTGTCAAGCTCCTCTGATGTCGATGTCCGCCCCACCTTGCCGTCGCGGTGTCCGCCACACCCGTGGGGAGCTATTCGCCCGACTTGTCCGAAGCAGAAGTTGCTGCAATGTGCCTTTCCGCATCGTTTGGGATGCATGTCTGGCACAGCTGCAAGTCGGAGGATCCACCAAAGCACGGCAGATTCTCCCAGGCAGTTCTAAGGCAGCCCTTGCCAGGCTCGTGCGCAGCGCCTGGGCAACTCCAGGGCAGCGTTCCCTGGGCTCATGGGAAGCGCCTGGGCAGCTTCTGGGCAGCGCTTCCTAGGCTCATGGGCAGCGCCTGGGCAGCTCCCAGTGGTAACCAGTGGTCGGACTCAGCGCGCGCGGGCGCAGAGACCGTGCAGGGACCCGCGAAGGAGCACAGGCTGCGAGCGCCCGACGTCTGACGTCCCCAGAAGCGTCTCGAGTGTTTCCGGAGGCCCCCAATAGGCCCCCACGAGGCCCCCGGGAGGCCCCCAAGAGGCCCTCACGAGGCCCCTGGGAGGCCCCCGAGAGGCCCCCAAGAGGCCACCACGAGGCCCCCGAGAGGCCCCCAAGAGGCCACGAGGCCCCCAAGAGGCCCCCAAGAGGCCACGAGACCCCGGGCTCCCAGAGGCCCCCAAGAGGCTCCCACGAAGGCTCCGAGATGCCACTGAGAGGCCCCCAGGATGCCCCCAGGAGGCCCCCGAGAGGCCTGGCCTCCAGAGGCGGAGGGAAGGAGGAGGGAAAGGGGCCCTCTCTCTCTCTCTCTCTCTCCGCCTCCTCCTCCTCCTCCTCCTCCTCCTCCTCCTCCTCCTCCTCCTCCTCCTCTCCTCCTCCTCCTCCTCCTCCTCCTCCTCCCCATCCTCCTCCTCCTCCTCCTCCTCCTCCTCCTCCTCCTCCTCCTCCTCCTCCACCCTCCCCCACCTGTGGTAGTGGTGGTGGAAAATCGGCCCATCGCTTTCCCGCACCGCCGTCCTCGACCTGCCGCTCGCGCGAGGCTCCACGTCTGCGGCCGGCTGCGCTGGTCAACTCGCCTGTGCTGCCTGGCCCTCGCTGCCCGACAGCTCTTGGACGCGCTCGGGGTCCGCGGTGCCAGCGGGGGAGACTCTGCGGAATCGGAGGGGCTCGCGCTGGTCACACAGAAACCTCCGCACCGCAGTCCTCGATTCGTCGGACACTCCCCTGCAAGGGTGGGCCTCTTGCCGCGTCGCTACGATTGCCACCTCCACCTTTCTGTTGGTACATTTTGCGCTGTGCCTATGTCTTTGTTTCCGTGTCTGCGTCTGTGGTTAAGTGCGTGGGCGTCTGTGCTTGTGCTGGTTTGCGTGGTGCATATTCGCCATCTCTATGCGGTATCTTGACGTCATTGCGGTATTATGAGCTGCGCCACTGCACTCATTATTTTGAGTGCGTATCTAAGATGGCCTGTGTGACGTCAGCTCTGCACCCATCGCGTGCATGTGTCGCTGGTGGCCGACTGCTTGCCTTCGTCTCTGTCTTTGCTTCTGCGCCTGTTTCTGCCTCTGCCTCCGTAGTTGCGTATGCCTAAGTTTCTGGTGAAGATCACTCATTGTACATATTCGTCAGTGTCCCGTTCTCTTTCCATCTCTGTCTCTTTTTTTGTTTTCTCTCTCTCTCTCTCTCTTTCTTTTGTTCTTTGTGCATGCAGCTTTGGCGTTTCAATATCCAGTGCCTGCGTCGAGCTTCTCCGAAGGTGCCAGCGCAGCCATCTGTGCCACGACAGTCGGAAAAACGCACGGAAGGTCATGATATGTGACAGCTCTCGTCCAGATGCTGCTGAGGGCCGTAACATGTGGCACCCTTTTTTCCGTAAGCCCGAGGCGGCCGTTTCATGCGAGAGTTGCCTTCCTCAGGGCCCAACAAAGACGCAATCTGTGACAGCTAGCTCCCCACGGGAAGGGAAGGCCGTATCATATGACATCATCTGACATGTGGGCCGACATGGCATCCGATGGCTCCTAGGAGCTCGCCAGGGGGCTCCCTTGGGCCCTCGGCCCATCTTGGATGGTATTGCGGCCGCTTGGTGGGGTCTCGGGGCATTTCAGAGGGCGGCTCTGGGGACGATTCGGAGCGCGTTGTTGGGCCGTCTGGTGCCTGAAAGGCGCCAGGCATACCGCACTGGAAGGCTTACGGTCAGAATAGTTGGCTTAGCGTGTCGTCCCGCCGATTCTGGCCCACCAAGTTGCGGCGCGACACGGGTAGCCACCCCGAAACTGTGTGGTTTTAAGGCAGGTTGCGCAGACACGTCAAACCGAAAGAGAAGCGCGTCAATCACGGCCGCCGATTGTACCGAGAAAGTACGCTTCAGCGCGACACGCTAACCGCGGAGGGTCTTTAACGTCAGTGCCCTCCTAAGCTCTCGGCTGCGAATCAGACTCGTTCTTCCACTCCTCCTCCTCCCCCTCCTCTTCCTCCCCCTCCTCCTCCTCCTCCTCCTCCTCCTCCTCCTCCTCATCATCATCATCATCATCATCATCATCATCATCATCATTATCTTCCTCCTCCTCCTCCTCCCTCCATTTCCCTCCACCTCCCTCCTCCTCCTCCTCCTCCCTCCTCATCGTTCCTCGTCCTCCCTCCTTTCCCTCCTCGTCCTCATCCTCGTCCTGCCTCCTCGTCGTTTCCCTCCTCGTCCTCCCCTCGTCCTTCCGCCCAGTGGGCGTCTCCTGCTTGGCCTGTGCGTACGCAGTGTGTTTGCTCGGCCTGTGCGTGACAAGACATGACCTTTATACATACATCCCTACATATATAAGCAGGGTCTGTTTGTATAATATATCAATATGTATGCATCACAGACCTGTATGCGTAAATATGGACATGTGGCGGCACATACATACATCTATATCTACACATACATGCACGCATGTCTACGCATCCTGCCATATACAGCATCTCCACTCCCTCTCTGCAGGCGCCCGCGGGCGCCAGCGATCACTTTCTCTATGTTTCTTGTCTATAGGTTGTTGGGTGGTATTTCTCATCGGGTAATGCTTTCTGGACTACCGTGCACGGCAGGAGATGCTTGAGTTTGCTAGTACAACGATCGCAAGATAATGCGCTATATCTTCAATCGAGTCGGCGCGTCGTCGTCGTCGTGATCGTCGTAGTTGTCTTCACATGGGAGTTACGCAGGTAATCGTGCCCAGTAGGAGCTTGCCATCTTTGTGCTGAGCTTGCTCGGTGGTGGCCGCACGTGCAATCATTTGTCAACTATTGCCCGTCATGCTGGATACTGTGGGATGGGTACTTTCCCATCGGATAATGTTTCCTGTGCTACCCTGTACGACAGGCATCTTGAGCTTGTTTGTGCAAATATTCGAGGATCGTTCGCTACATCTCCAATCGAGTCGGCGCATCGTCTTCATCGTCATCGTCGTATTGATCGTCGTCGTCGCCTTCACGACGACGGCGGCGTGGACAACTATTGGCAGAAGCCTGGGCGGCGGCCGCCGCGGTGGAACAATTCTCTTGAGCTAACATGTCGGCGTCCCAATCCGTCAATAAGCTCGGACAGAGGCCATTCGTTTCCCATCATATGGGGGGGTATTATAAAAAGATCCCTTCTGGGTTATCCGCTTCCTGGCCCCCCGACATCTGCGCTCCGAGCCTTTCCCAGCCTCCCGCCTCTCGGGTAGCAGAGCGGCTCGCTGTCATGTTGCAAGGTAGCGTGTCGCCGGGGCCGTTGCCACGACATGCTGAGCAAGAATTCTCGATCATACGGTGTCTGAAGTCTTTGACGTCTTAGCGACCTTGAGGAGAGAGAGGGGTGGAGACGGAGGGACGATCGAGGCAGGATGGGGTGGGGGAGAAGGAGGAGGAAGGGGAGGATGAGGAGGATTAGGAGGAGGAGCAGTGGTAGGAGGCGGAGGATGAGTAGTTCTTTTGGCCTTCAGTCTATCCCGCCCTCGTGCCGGGGTTGTAGGTCAGAGGCCTCTCGGGGCCCTCTTGAACCGTTTTGGGGCGCTCGTGGCTCCGAACAAGTCGCGCGGGAAGCGCTGGGGAACTACGGGAGTAACACTGGGAACCCCGGGAAATTTGAGAATTCGGGGTCCAGGCCTGCCAATACCTATACGACCACCCTTCAGGTGATGAGGAGGTTCGGGGGGGGAGGAACACACGTCTCACTCAGTCGATCTCACAATCGTTCTCACTATCGATATCACAATTAATCTCACTCGATCGATCGCACGATCGATCTCACTATCGATCCCACTATCGATCTCACAATCGATCTCACGATCCCTCTCATGATCGATCTCACGATCGATTTCACGATAGATCTCACACTCGATCTCACTATCGATTTCACGATCGATCTCACAATCGATCTCACTGTCGTTCTCACTATCCCTCTCACGATCGATCTCACAATCGACCTAGCCATCTATTTCGCTATCGATTTCACTATCGATCTCACAATCGACCTCACGGGACACCACGGGCCACCGCGGGACACCGCGGGGCACCATCGGGACACCACGGCGGGACACCCCTAGCACCCGCCCGCCCACCGGGCGGGCGGACTTTTGCCCCGGCGGCTCCCCAGCCAGAGGAGGGTTCCTTCCTTCGGGGGCGGAACAGAGGGGGGTGATGACTAGGGGGGGGGATCTCAAGGCGGGGGCCAGGATATCTCCCCAGATCTCGTGGCGCCTCTTCTTGTTTCATTACGTCCTGGCCCCCCCGCTGGGCCGCGCAGATGCCGCCGGTCATGATTTGCACCCCCCCTCTTGGACACCCCCCTCTTGGCCGCTCCCGACTCTCGCCCGCCCACACAGCTCCGCCTCGCCCGCACGCGCGACACGAGCACGAGACCGAAACCGATGTTTCCCGGTGGGTGGGCTCTCCGTTTCACGGCGATGTCACCCGCCTACCTCCAATCCACCTGCGGACTGGCGTCTCGGGCCTGCAAGGAGGGGGAGGAGGAGGAGGAGGAGGAGGAGGAGGAGGAGGAGGAGGAGGAGGAGGAGGAGGAGGAGGAGGACGAGGAGGAGGAGGAGGAGGAGGAGGGGAGGAGGGGTGGAGGAGGAGGAGGAGGAGGAGGAGGAGGAGGAGGAGGAGGAGGAGGAGGGACCTCAGGGCATTCCAGCTCCAGACCCCCGACGTCTTGATTTTTTCGTCACGTCGACCCCCAGAGGTCTGGACCCCTTCCACGGGAACAGTTTTGCGTCCCGAGTCGTTTTTCGACGGTCCCGAGGCCCGGGAAGGGCCCCAGGAGGCCGAAAATAGTGAAAAACCTCCCGTCGCGATTTTTTCGCAACGCGAGGCGGTTCGGGGAGGGAGTTTTAATTTTTGTCTCGCGGCACGGTGGCGGATCTCTTGCTGGGGTGGCGAGGAGGAGACCAGTTGCGGTGCCCTTGCCTGCCTGCCTGGGTGGCGGCGCTTTGGCAGGTCGTCTTCTTCGCCCTGGAGGCCGCCGTGGCGGGCGGAGTGGCGCGCGGAGGTGGAGTGCCTCCTCCCGTCCCTCCCTGCGCCCCCTTCGTCCCCTCCTCTGCCCTCTCCGCCCGCTCGTTCCTCCCTTCCTGTTCCCTCCTCCCCTCGTTCGTTCCCCTGCCCTTCCCTCCCGCCCCTCCCTCTCTCCCTCCCCCTTGTCGTCCGCTGGGGCCGCCTCTGAGCTGCAAGGGTGGAGCCAGCCAGCTCTGGGGCCAGCCAGCCTGCCGACAGCGCCAGGGGCGGCCGGGTGGCGCAGCACGTGGAGCGGGAACCTCAGGGCCGGGGAGCGCTGGAAGATCGGACGGCGGCCAGCGAAGACAGAGGGAGAACGTATCAGCATGGTGCCCGAGCGGCCCGAGCTGCTTCGGGGGATACCGGGGAAGAGAGAGCGAGAGAGCGAGAGAGCGAGAGAGCGAGCGAGCGAGCGAGGACGACGACGACGACGACGAGGACGACGACGACGACGACGACGACGACGACGAAGACGACGACGAGGACGACGACGACGACGACGACGACGACGACGACGACGACGACGACGACGACGACGACGACGACGACGACGACGACGACGACGACGACGACGACGACGACGACGACGACTGGGGGGTCCCGAGGGATCATGCTGCGGAGGGCGGCTCAGAGCGAGACAGACCGGCGCTGAGGGGATCCCGAAGCGCAGTGCTGCAGACAGATGAGGAGCTGCAGAGGGTGCAGGAGGAGCCAGGGAGATGCCCCGCCCGCGGGAGGTCGCGAAACGCCACGCTGCACAGGGGAGCCGCAGGCAATGCAGCAAGCAACCGAGAGATGACCTGCGAGCGGGGGTTCCCGAAGGCCTCTGTGCAGAGGTTGGAGGGGGTGCTGCAGAACAGGTGGCGTCACTGCAGCGGTGAGGCGGCAGCCAACTGCCACGAAGTCAGTAGTCAAGCTGTGCGATGCGGTCCAGCGGGCGGACCAGGCGCCAGAGGCCAGAGAGCTGCTCGCTCACGCAAACACACACGGTCAGGCCGCCAGTTGCAGCCACCGCTGCCCGCCGACGAACGGGACTCTGCGCGGTGTGGGCCGCAGTGCAGGTGCTCGTGCATGTCATCGCGGGTGCGCGTGCGATTGTTCGCTCGCGCCCTCACCAGCTCATCGGGGAATCCGTTTCGCACCCCTTGGTCGGTCTCTGAGGGTCCTCTTGGGAGCTTCTTGGGGAGATAAATATTTGGATCCTCCCATCAAGCGCGCCACTTTCGAGTTCTGCTGCTTTGAGCCTCGGAGCGGTACGTGCCCATGTCCGCGCGCGTTTCGTTGGGAGTTGTTACAGCCACTTTGAGGGGAAGCGGAGTCGATACTGCATCGGAGCTGGGGCCGAAGCTGGTAGTGTTTGCGGCGAGAAATCATGCTTGGATCCTTCCCTCCCTTCCTCCCTCCTCCTCAGTGAAGAGGAGGGAGAGAGGGATGGGAGGATCCTCACCATTTGACCAGGCCAGATGGTGAGGATCCTCACCATCTGACCAGGATCCTCACCATCTGACCTCCCTCCCTCCTCCTCAGTGAGGAGGAGGGAGGGAGGGATGGGAGGATCCTCGCCATCTGACCAGGCCAGATGGTGAGGATCCTCATCATCTGACCAGGATCCTCACCATCTAACCCCCCTCCCTCCTCAGTGAGGAGGAGGGAGGGAGGGATGTGAGAATTCCTCTCCATCTGACCATGCCAGACCATGTCAGATGGTGATGAGTCCTCATCATCCTGGTCTGGCCTGGTCTGTTCTTCCCTGGCCTGGCCTGGCCTCGTGTGGCCTGGTCTAGTCTGGAGGCGTCATGGGTGGCCTAGTCCAGGGCTGGACCTTAACGCTGTTTTGCTGGACTTCGGCTGTGTTTCGTTTTTCGGTGTGTGTGTGGCTTGGTGGAATGGCATATGAGGTCCGTAAAGGCGAGGAGCACGAGAAGGAGAGATGCGGACATGAACAGACGTTGACCAGGAGGAGCAGATGGATTGGGTGGGCGGTCGGCAGGAGGAGGGGGGAGGAGGAAGAGGATGAAGATGATGAGAACGAGGAAGAGGACGAGGGAAGCCAGGAGACGGGGGGGGAACACATGGATGATGATGAGCCGGAGATCACGAGTAGAAGGAGTCAGAGGACACGAACGAAGATGAATATGATACTGCGGGGGGTGGGATGTTAGTGTGCCGTTGGCCTCGACGCTTCTGGTACACATGTTAGTTGAAACTGAGGCTTCTTCCCTGGACTCGAGGTTTTGATTCGTTTGTCTGACTCCGGCGCCTCTCCGAATCTATCCGACTCCGGCTCCGACCTCACCACCTCCACGTACCTCTCCGACCCTACGTTTTCTCCGATTCCGTCTCAGAAGATCGATCCCATTCTTCCGACTGCGGTTGCCCAAAGTCGACTTCAGAGTCTGAGAGGCCAACATCGGCGCCCCGGCGACCACCCGCTGCACCCGCGTAGGTGCCTTCTTGCGGGACTGTGTCTGTGTCTGTGTGTGCAGGGCTTGTGCAAATGCGCCGAAGATCCCTTCTAGCCGAGGCTTGAGGATAGCATGGGGGCCGAACAGGTCCCTCGAAGCTTGCTTGTCGACCTTCGGCCCAGCTGCCTCTCTCCACAGATTCACACTGAAGACCTGGCCCAGACAACATACTTTGGATGGATGTCTTTCATATCCATGGCCCAGCAGCTCAGGAGGGATGGGGCCCAACTGGGCCTACTAGGCCGGGCCTGCCAGGCCTGACCCAGCGAGCCGAGGAATGACGAGGCAGAGGAGGAGGAGGAGGAGGAGGAGGAGGAGGAGGAGGAGGAGGAGGAGGAGGACCAGAGCAATTCCAAGATGCACCAGCGATGCTGCACTACACCCCTCCCATCACAAGTTATCTTCCTGGGCCCCCCTCAAGCAGCCTTCGAACATGGTGACAGTTTCGCAGTTTACAGCCCCCCCCCCCCCCGCGACGGTGAGGTTTTATCTGAATCCCCGTAAGACGCCACTGCGCTGGGCCCCACCAGCAGCGTTCGAAGGTGGCGACAGCTTCGCAGTTCCCAGCACCCCCAGCGACGGCGAGGTCGAAGGTGTTGACAGTTTCGCAGTTTGCAGTCCACCAGCAGATGGATAGGTGTAATCGGAATCCCTGTATGATCTCACTGCGCTGGGCCCATCCGCAGCCCTCGAACGTGGCGACAGATTCGCAGTTCGCAGGCCCCCAGGGGTGGCGAGGTCTCATCGGCTATGAACATGGCGTCACTCCGCTGGGCTTCCCAACGGCCCGCTTGACTGGCGACGGCTTCGCACTTTGCATGTTTCGCGAAGGCGATGTTTCATCTGATCGGCATAGGACGTTGGTCCGCTGGACCTTGCAGAGGCCAACCCACGCGCTGGCAGTTTCGCAGTTCGCAACCCTCAGCAGAGGCGAGGTCTCATCTGGTCTGAATAGGACGTCACCCTGCTGGACCCAGGAGCCCACGAAATTGGCGACGGTCACGCAGCTCGCAGCCCACAGCGACTGTGAGGTTTCGTTTGGCCCAAATTCTCGAGAATGCCGACGTTTTCGTAGTTCGCAGCCCCTGGCGACGGCCATGTCTTATTTGATCAGAGCAGTACGCCACTTCCCTGGGCCTCCCGGAGGCCCACCCCGCGCTGGCAGTTTCGCAGCTCGCAGCCCTCAGCAGCGACGAGGTCTCATCTGGTCTGAGTAGGACGTCACCCTGCTGGACCCAGGAGCCCACGTGGATTTTGGCGGTCACGCAGCTACTCGCAGCCCCCAGCGACTGCGAGGTTTTCTTTGCCCCCAGTCCTCGAGAATGCCGACGTTTTCGTAGTTCGCAGCCCCTGGCGACGGCGAGGTCTTATTTGATTTGAGTAGTGCACCATGCCCCTGGACCTCCCCAACGCCCACGAAAGCGCCGACAGTTTCACAGTTCAGTCCCCAGCGACGTTGAGCTCTCATCTAACTCGAATAAGATTTCTCTCCGTTGTATTCCCCAGGAACACGCGACTGTGGCGACATTGTCGCAACTCGAATAGGCGCGCCAGCGCGGCTTGTGAGACGCGCTGGTAAGCCCCCAGCGGTTAGCGACACCGCGGCTGAGTCGGTCGCGGCAGACCAGCTGGCCACTCTGCGCGCGAGCCTGCGAGCGCTAGCGCGGCCGCAGCGATCTACCAGCCAACGCCAAGCACTCATCGCAATCGCCGCCGCATGGGTTTTGCAAACCAAGTTGCGGTTGGGTGGGTGGGATAAATGATTGTGTGAGCCGTGGCGTTGACATGTTCAATTTCGGCAGGGTGAGTTGCACCACGCATGTTGCGCCACATAGGTTGCACCACCAAAGCGGCACGACATATATTGCATACGATGTTTTGCCTCACGTCGTTCGCTCCACATGCATTGCACAGCCTATATTGCACCACGTTGATTGCAACACGTCGATGGTCCGACCTGGATTGTGCAGCACATACGGCTAGAAACACATTGTTTGGGGTCCACGCTGGCTTACATGTCTTAATCCCTCCCCGAAGACACAGAACCCTTTTTCCCAGCAGGCGCGAGGGCTTCTGAGACGCCGCGCCGCCTTCAGAAAACGGCGGCTTGCCTCCTCGCACTTCCCTTTCACTTCCCCAGCGGGCACGCCGCCGATTGTCGCAGGCCACAGGGCTTCACGACGTTGCGCAATTGACAGCGGGGGAGGGGGCTTCTCAGCCTGCGTGGGGCGCTGTAAGGGTTCAAGTGTCTTCGGGCATCTGTTTCAGTGTTGTCTTCTGAATAAGACTTCTGACGTAAGAGCAGTTTATGGACAGTTTACCCTTCTTGAGTGCACTCGTCAGTGTTGTGCCGTCGCTGGACCAAATTTGCACAGGTTGGGTTGCGGGCGTAATCCATGACAAGCACACCTATTATTTGCTTGCTTGCTTGCCTACCTGCTTGCCTGGTTGCATGCTCGCCGTCTGCGCCATGGTCACAGACCCAGACATCACACGCATCAACACCACCGGCTGAGCCACCCTTCTATTCTACACCACGTCAGTTTGGAGGCAGCGCTGGCAGACGCCCTCTCGTTTGCACATCGCTAGCTGGTAGTCAATCTCAACCGGGCAACGATGGCCAACGTGCGAGCCCGTCTGACCAAATCAGAGAATTCGTGACATACCGGAGCGTGGGAGTGTATTCACTCAGTTGTCATGCGTGTCTTGAGTTCCAAAATCTTGTAGCTGTTAGATATTCCTTCCCTGCTGCATACAACACACGAGCGGAATCCTATCTTAGCAGGTGCCCTGCCGGTCTGTGGATCAGCTGTCGCAGTTCTTTCGGCCCCCCAGATCAACGGCTTGGACTACGACAAATTGCTCACGAACACGGCGATGCTGTCGGCTGTTCGCACCAACATCGCCCAGGTGTGGAAGTCTCTTTCTTCTGCGAGGAAGAGTGGAGGAAGTGAGCCGACGGGAGCGTACCCACTTCATAATACATTCGCGTGCCATAGGTTACAGCTTCTGCCATCTGCAACCTCCTTCGCCGCTTCAGCGCAGTCCAAATCCATTTCATCATCCTCGGAAATATATTATTTACAGCTTCCATGATCAAAAAGCCTGGCTGGTGCTTAGCTGCTTCAGCGTGACACCCTATTGCATGGGAAGCTGGTGGTCGGGTGTTCAGGGACGGAGCTTTGTGGGTAGCGGCTTGACCTGCCAGACGCAAATTCCAGGCAAAAGGAGGGCAAGGCATTTAACGGGTGAGATCGACGCATCATCTCGTTCCCGCGCGATTTGAGGGTCGTTGTCAGTCAATCGGGGTGCACCAGTCTTGCAGATAGCAACATACGAATTGCTTATACTTCCTGCTCTCTTTTCCTCTCTCACGCTCATCTTCCTGTGCTGCTTCACTTTGTATGCCGGGTGAGAACTTTCTGAGCTAATACTTAACATCGATCGCATTGAGTATGGGTCATGTTCATTGGTCTCATACCTTAATGTGTCACGGTACGTGAGCTTGCGCTTATTTCTGATCAGCAATAATCGAAGACGCCTACGGCGAATCATTGCCGCCCCTGCATTTTTGGAAGCGCCTACGTGGCCGTTGGGCTAGAGCGTGGCCAAGCTATCGGACAATGTGTTTCCCCAGCCGTCGTTGAAACCCTTCGGGGGAACACGTGAGAAAGAGGGAATCAGGAGAAGAATGAGAAGGGAGTAGTAGTAGTAGTAGTAGTAGTAGTAGTAGTAGTAGTAGTAGTAGTAGTAGTAGTAGTAGTAGTAGTAGTAGTAGTAGTAGTAGTAGTAGTGGTAGTAGTAGTAGTAGTCGTAGTAGTAGTAGTAGTAGTAAGTAGTAGTAGTAGTAGTAGTAGTAGTAGTAGTAGTAGTAGTAGTAGTAGTAGTAGTAGTAGTAGTAGTAGTCGTAGTAGTAGTAGTAGTAGTAGTAGTAGTAGTAGTAGTAGTAGTAGTAGTAGCGTAGTAGCGTAGTAGTAGTAGTAAGTAGTAAGTAGTAGTAGTAGTAGTAGTAGTAGTCGTAGTAGTAGGTAGTAGTAGGAGGAGGAGAGTAGGAGTAGAGAGAGAGGAGGAGGATGAGGGAGGAGGAAGAAGAAGAAGAAGAAGAACACACAAATTGAAGAGGAGGAGGAGGAGGAGGAGGAGGAGGAGGAGGAGGAGGAGGAGGAGGGAGAGTAGACCTCTTGGGAGCCTCTTGGGGCACGCTCGTCGCCTCCTGGGAGCTTCCTGGGGCCCCTTGGGGGCCTCCGCGGGGGCGATTCCAAAAGGCAGGGGGCGGCGGTGATTCGCCGTAGGCGTCTTCGATCCGCCGCCCCCTGTGGTCTTGCCACAGGGGTGCCCGGCGTGCTAAATTTCAGGTGGTTTTAGGTTCTCTTGAAGATTCCCCATGGGGCTTCGGCACAGCGCGCCGGCCACCCAAAAGGCCACCAAATTTGCCCCGTCGGCTCCAAGACGGCCAACATGGCCCAAGATGGCTCCATATTCGCCCAAGATGGTCAAATATGGCCTCCAAGACGGCCCAAGAGGGTCCCAGATGCCTCCAAGTCCGCGCTAGAAGCCACCAAGAAGGCCCAAGGTTGCTCCAAGATGCCCCAAGACGGCGGCCTAATTGGCCTCCAAGGAGTCTGCCAGGAAGGCCCGAAGAGCCAACAACCATTGATTTTCCTAAGGTCATTGGAAGACTTTGCTCTTTTGCTTATTTTCGGCCTTCCGACGGCCCCAGACGGCCCAAGAGCCCCCCAAGTTCGCCCCAAGACCGCCCAAGAGGCCTCCAAGATGGCCCCATGACAGCCCAAGAGGCTCCCAAGACGGCCCCAAGAGTGCCCCAAGACGAGCCAATACAGCTCCAAGACGCCGAAGATGGCATCCAAGACGGCCTAAAGCACCCCAAGAGGGCCCCAAGTGGGTTCAGAGAGGCCCCCAAGACGGCTTCCTACGGCGTCAGACGGCCCAGGAACGCTCTCAGATGCCAAAGAGGCCCCGAAGAGGCCCCAAAGGCCTCCAAGAGGCATGTGGCCGAACGTTGTGGCCAGAGCCCTGCCAAGCTATCGGACCATGTGTTCTCTCAGCCGTCGTGGAAACCCTTCGGAGAACACGCGGGGGAGAAGGAATAAGCGGAGGGGAGGGAACAACATAGAGAGGAGGAGGAGGAGGAGGAGGAGGAGAAGGAGGAGGAGGAGGACCAGTTTAAACCCAAGACTCCTCAACGATGTTGGAAAAATACCTCCCTCCAAGCTCCCTCTTCGTAGGCTCATACTGGGGTCATTTCCACTTCTGGAAGTGCCCCGTTGGGAGAAACGCTGTTCTCGGAACTTCAACGCCACGAATCAATTTGATTGTTGTGCCTTCACGATCCCGAATCGTGCCAGAACACCGTTCCGGGGACTTCAGCATCGCGAATCAACGTGAAGGTGGCGCCCTGACAATCCAGAATCGTTCCACAACACCATTTCTGGTACGTTAGCCATGGGAACCCGTGAAACTCTTACAATTTATTAAGGCGAATGTGCGCGGCGCTCAGGCGAGAGCCACATTGTGAAAATCACCCGCCTTCAATCCAGGAACGTCTTGCAAATGTTTAAGACGAATGTGCACGGCGCTCAGGCGAGAGCCACATTAAAAAAACACCCGCCCTCAATCCGTGAAGCTCTGGTAACTGTTTCAGTGTATGTGCGCGGCGCTAAGGTGAAAGCCACATGTTGAAAACGACCCGCCCTCAATCCGTGAAACGTGTTGCACATTTTGAAGACAAATGTGCGCGGCGCTAAGGTGAAAGCCACATGTTGAAAACGACCCGCCCTCAATCCGTGAAGGTCTTGCAAATGTTTAGGGCGAATGTGCGCGGCGCTAAGGCGAGAGCCACAGTTTGAAAACCACCCACCCTCCATCTGTGAAGCTGCTGCCGTTTCTTAAGTTCAGGATCGTGAGTCGTCAGGAAATCTCAGGCGAAACGTCTGGCCCGCCCTTCCGACTGGCTTCGGTGTGCGACAGAGAGGAGTTGTTTATGAGGGGAAGGAATGGAGGAGGAGGAGGAGGAGGAGGAGGAGGAGGAGGAAGAAAAGGACAAGGACGAGGCAGAGGACGAGGAACGAGTAGGAGGAGGAGGAGGAGGAGAAGAGAAGAAAACCAGGAGGACAATGATCAGGATGAGGAGGAGCTTGAGAGGAAGCTGAACCTTCGATGCCGAAGTAAGCCAGAGGAGGGAGCTGACGAGCAGGAACCCTGTCGCCCAGGCTGTTGCCACCGAGGTTGGCAAGGGTGTCGCCGTCAGCGACGTCGAGACGGTGATCCCTCCGCCGCCTTCTTGTCCTCTCCCTTCCCCTCCTCCTCCTCCTCCTCCTCCTCCTCTCCTCCTCCTCCTCCTCCTCCTCCTCCTCCTCCTCCTCCTCCTCCTCCTCCTCCTCCTCCTCCTCCTCCTCCTCCTCCTCCTCCTCCTACCTCCTCCTCCTCCTCCTCCTCCTCCTCCTCCTCCTCCTCCTCCTCCTCCTCCTCCTCCTCCTCCTCCTCCTATTCCTCCCTGGAGCCATTTTGGCTCAAGCGATCGCATTGGCCGCCGCCGTCCGCCCCGCGCGATGGCTCGGCCTAGAGGGGCCCCCTCGGCTGCGGTGGACGGCGTCGCCCTGCTGGCGGCCGCCGTCCGCGCCGCTGTGGAGGCGAAGGCGCCGCGCCGCACTGTGGCGGCGGTGGCTGGCGCTGTGGCGGCGGTCGCGCTCCGTGCGCGGACCGCGCCACCCGCGCCGCCGCCCGCCGCTGGTGCTGCGCGCGCCGAGGATGCGGATGCGCCCCCGCGCAGCTCCGCCGCGAAGGTCGAGCGCCGCCGACGCCGCCGCCAGCGCCTTGCGGCGCGGCGGGCGGCGGAGCGCGGCGGGGCGGCCAACGCGGCCGACGCTGGGCGTGGAGGCGCTGCTGACGGTGCCGCCGCCGCTGCTGGCCTCGAGCTCGTGCAGCTCCCCATGGTCGTCGACGTCGTCGACGATGAGTGGGCTGACGAGCTGCCGCCGCGCCGTGCGCGGAGGCAGCTGCGGCGCACCGACACGGTGGCGGCGGAGGACCCGCGTCCTCCTGCCGCCGCCGTGGCCGCTGCGGCGGCGGGCTGCGGCGGCGCGGCGGGCATAAAGGCGTTCCTCGAGGAGGCCTTCGCCGCGGGCGTGTCCCCCGCCGACGCCGCGGCCCTGGCTGCTGGGGGCCTCCTTCCGCGTGATGGTCCACGCGGCGGTGGTCCGGGGCCCGGGGCGGCCGGCCGCGGGAGGAGCAGCGGGGGGGGGCGGTAGGGGCCTCGCCGCTACGCGCGCAGGGCCCTCGCCCCTTCCCCCTCCCGCGGACATCGTGGTGCTCGTCGGCATGGTCGTGCTCGTCATCACGGTCGGGGGTCCTGCCCCGTCAGGACCCCCGTGCGCCCGCGCGCGTGGGCGCGCGCGCGGGCTTCGGGGGAGGCGGCACCGTCTCCTCTATGGCTCGTTGATCCTCCTCCTCCTCCTCCTCCTCCTCCTCCTCCTCCTCCTCCTCCTCCTCCTCCTCCTCCTCCTCCGTCCTCCTCGTCCTCCTCCTCCTCCTCCTCCTCCTCCTCCTCCTCCTCCTGGTCCTCCTGGTCCTCCTGGTCCTCCT